TTTCAGAATTTCCGACGAGAGTCCCCGGGGTTGGATATTTATGACTGTAACAATGGCCTTTTCCTAAGATGCAGCACGTGTTATGAAGAAACAGAACTAACATCTTGGGAAAAGGCCATTAAAACTTGTTTTTAATGGTCGCTCTTGTAATGGAAAGTCACAAGAGTTATTTTTTTTTCATTGCTGACATATCTATTTTTGTCACTAGAACATCTTGTGCAAATTGCATGTGAAACTGGAATCACACTTGACCCAATATACACCTTGAAGTCTGCGCGTGGTATGCTTGCGGAAATGAAAGACAATCCATGTCGATATAAAGGCAAAAAAGTGCTGTTTATGCATACAGGTCAGTTAATCAATGACAAAACTCAAAGCGATTCACCGATTTTTGTTTTTGCTGTGAGAGTGATGCATGTTAAATTCATGGCATAAGATCGGCATACTCTTATAACTTAATACTGCATGAGAGATAAAGCACACAAAATCCGCTCATATATGTATTTTTCGTCCTTACTCCGTCCAAGGATTAACGTCCGAAACGTCTTGTTTCTTTAGAAACACCGACGCAGCTCACACTAGTTTACCGCTAATTTCCACCATTTTGAATTAATTTATCTGTTGTTCAGTTTGTTACTTATTCGCTTATTGGTCTTTTCTTCTTCCTGGAAAAACATAATAGGGTGCCTGTGGGGACGATAAATTATGTTTGCAACTTTGTGATTTCAGGAGGAATGTTTGGGTTATTCGAAGGACGAATGAATCGCATTCTCGAAAAGCTCAACGTCACCAGCCGCATACGATATTGGGCGAACGGCGAGGATGTCCCTGTATTTTAAGTGGCATTTTTTTTACGTAAATTCTAGTATTTTACGCTCCATACTGCTTGGTTACTATTGAAACGATTGTGTAGAACGTTACCACGGATTAGAATGTTATTTGCAACCACAACTGATAGTTTTAATTCAATAACTTAGCAGCCACGAGGCGGAATAATCCAGTTTCGAGTTCTCCAATGCTCTGTGTTGGCCTCATTTGTGCGCAAAATATTCCTAATTGTGAGAATAAAAGTGTGAGATTTCAAATGAATTCCATTGTTTTTCCATGCGTTTTCTCGGGCTATCAATGAAMCRAAMGAATATGTTGCTTGGTTTTGAGGCTAACACAGAGCAAACCAGAACTCGAAATCGGAGTATTACGTTTAAATTATGTTACAGTTCAAATGAATAGATATTATATAGACGGTATATTTGAAAATATAGGTGCAATATTTACAATAGGCCATTTGCATGAAAATGCCACGTGGAACTAAATCTGTCATGCTGGATGGCAAAATACCCACTGGTGTGTTCAAAACAAAGAAAAGTCAAGCTTGACGGGCTGCGTTCCCTTTGTTTTTAAGGTTGTTTACATTCTTTTGCCATCCACTATGGCGGATTTAGTACCATGCGACCGTTTCATACAAAAGGCCTATTATAATGATAAATATCTACAAGTCTAAGAACAAATGAATAACGTGAATCCATGTCGATCCGACAGTTTAAGATCCATTTAGATGATTATAATTCCGAGGAAGGAAAACATCGTTTTAGGAAAACCCAAGTTAACGAGTCTGGAGTTCGAATACACTGAATATTTCGACTCTAATTCAAAGTCATAATCATGTAATAATGTTGGTATTTACAAGCCCGGATTTTATTTAAAAAGCTGTAAGTCCCTTGAAATGAATAACGTATTTCATTCATTACAAATGTCATTTTTTAAACCAATAAAGAGCATCAAAGGGTCATGTTCAACCGGCATTCATTGCGGTTTTTCATTTTTCATATATGGAAAATGAGATGGCTACTAGTACCCATCCGCAATACGTTTCCTTCTGTCTGTTTTAAGATCGAATCTGGCACTGAATATTTCCATTCAAAGAGCATAAAGGGATAAACTAAGTTTTGTTTATATTACGGTGCATCGAAGCTCGAAAGGGATGCCGGTTGACCATGGTCCTTTAAAAAGTGGAAACTGAAACTGAAAACAACGTCGAAGTTCGTGTATTCAGTGAACAAACTCCAGTTGTGTGTATCTTGTATGTCAAAAAGATGTATTTAAAGCTGTATTTAAGAAATAGTTGTTTTGTCAAGCTTCTAAGACGACGGCAATTATTTAGAATAAAAAAATAGAGAAAATTCGTTCTCCGTATTTTTATCAAATAGACGCCATTTTGTTACTCCATGATAAACTTCAGAAAAAGATTCGAAAAAGATATATGACGTCATACATTTTTGATGCTTAATTCAACACTCCTACGTGTTACAAATTATTTCGTATGATTTTGAAAGTAAACTACAAAAATAGAGCGAAAATTACATTAAAAATTATCGAAAAATGAGCAGTAGCATAGAAATTGATTTATCATATAATTATCTGTGAAATACCTATATCTCTCCATTTCGAGGTTTCTCTATATAGTGGAATTAAGAAAAAAAGCTATTTTAAGACATTATTTGCTTTCATATACAATTATATGATAAACAGAATATTACATGGTCGCTTGGAGATACGAATTTTATCTTCTCGTATTGAAAATCTCTCACGAGTGAGGCGTAGCGAACGAGTGAGAGATCTTTTCAACACTCGAAGATAAAATCCGTATCTCCGCGCGCCCATGTAATATCCTCTATATTATGCATGGCTGTGATCAAATCATTTCTGATACCGTTATTCCGTTTTTTGCTTACTAGTCAAAATCCAACATAACTTTACCAACCATCTCCCTATGGCACACAGCAACTTTAAAAACACAATCAAACCAATAACACAAAACAAAATTGCGTCCAACATGTAAGCTTCAATAAAGGATAACTTATCAGCCTCGCTACGAAAATGAAGACCGGCGTCATAGTGCAAACCATATTCAATCCAATCTGCAGCCTGTTCTGTTGGTGTTCTGATCATGGCTGGTAGTTGGGTGTGTGTGTGTCCATCAGCTGTGGATATCGTTCTGCCTGGATAAATCATCTTTGATGCAAGTTTCTTTGCGTTTGCGGTGTACGATTGGTTGGTAAGGACCTTCTGGATCGTGTTTATAAGATTTTCAGCTGTGATGTCATTGATTTTAATCATTTCACCAACACCTGATAATTAATATCAAGAAATTAGCCTACGTAGCGGCTCCTGGGGGACTGGGGAGAGTCCCTTTAACCCTCCCCCCCCTCCCCTTTTGTCTTCTCCCCAGTACCCCAAGAGCCGCTACGTAGGCTATCAAGAAATAAGATGCTTGAAATAAAACAAAAACAAGATGCGACGGATGCAGAAGAGGATGAGGACAGCTTTTACTGTTTTTCAATCATTTCCATGAGATTCAAACAACAAAAGAACTGCGGACATGTTGGAAGTATGAACAATTTAGATACTAATGAGAAATCCTTTGTTGAAGTACATCCAAGATGGCCGCTGTGACGTAACCTGAAAACTAGCAGTTATGTGCAGTGGGTGTGCAGCCCCCTTTTCAGTCCTTGTAATCTGCAGTGCTCTCATTGCACAATTCTCGTTGTCAAAATTAAAATTTACATAACATATATATTAAAACCAATAACATTTTTCCATTAATTCAATACCTTGATGAACGATTACAGTGGGTAGAAAAATACAATCACACTTGTAAGTCATTTTCAGACTTTACGACAAGAATCCCATCCTGTATTGGAAATTGGAACTTACCAGTATTCACAGCTTCCAGAGCATTGCTGAACTGATCTGCAAAAAATGGTACAACAACCATAGGCACGCCATGAAAGCATGCTTCGTATATGCTATTTAAACCAGCATGAGTTACAAACACTTTGGTCGCAGAATTCCCAAGCAAGTCGTTTTGGGGAAACCATGGAACAATCTTCACATTTTGCCCAACATTGGGTGGCATTTTTCCCTTGTATTTCCATATCACAGTGGCTGGGATTTCATTCAGTGCCGATATAACTGTGTCCACAAAGCCTTCTTTAAAGTCTGAAATGATAGTACCAAATGACACAAGTACCACATCCCTAAATGGTCCAGACGATATAATCTCCAGAAAATTATATGGTAATGGCTTGGAGGGCTCAGGAAGTATTGGGCCTACAACCTTCATGTATGGTTCAATTGTGCGGCTCTTGGCCAATGCAAAGTCCACTGGTATGAGTAGTAAACCTGTGGAACGAACTAGGCCCTCAAGGTTTTCATATTTTGAGTTGGGTGTATATTGTTTCCGCAATTTTCTAAATAGTCCAGTAAAGTGGAAAGTATGCACGTACATTAAACTATAAATCATTAAGTTCTGGACTCTTCCAAAAAATGACGGTTTTGGCATCGGTACGAAACACGGAAATTGTGGTATTTGAGCTAAGGATGCTGGGAAGTTATGGATGATGCTTAGAATGGGGTCGCCAAAGCCAGTGGGTAAAATGTCAACGCGTTGGATTCCAAGTTTATCGGCAAGTATGGGGCAACAAGGCAATGAAACATCACATAACATAAAGTTTGCATCGTGAAGCTTTTGAGCGTAAATGTCACTTCTTAGTGTGTCCTCGCACACTTCATGTACCATAGCACCAAATCCATCAGAAAATTCTTTCCATTTACCTTCAAAAGATATGAATACACATTAAATAGTAAAAATAATGATTAACATATATCAAATAAAGTTGGCATGAATCTTTGAAGGGGAGGATTCAGAGCTTTTGAGGGAGGTAGGGCACAACTATCAATTTGAAAACCCACTTGAATACAACCCTGCCCCTGGGTCATCAGCACTATCCTTTAGAACCCAGGGGCTATCTTATGAATAAGGGAAGCAAGTTGGGTGGCCGAGCGGTGAAAGCGTTGGCCTGTCACCTCTGTGGACCTGCCATGTGATTTGAGCTTCTTTCGTTCTCTCCCTCATGCTTCGAGGGTTTTACCGGCTCTAGGACTTGCATGAGACGCAGTCACCCGTGCTGCCATGAGGGACGATTCAATAAAAGTCGGGTTGCCCCAGTCACGGGTTGTTTTATTTTCATTCACAATTCACTTTCATTTACAATTCACTTGGTTTTCTTTGTTATTCATAGGGTTGTATATACCATATAAACTTAAAGCCGGGGAGGGATTTGATATACAGCAGGGAAATGTGGGTATATGAGTGACCGGAATCACTCTCATATATAGCCCGCTGAATTTGTAACCAGCTATTCGATTCAATTCATCAACTCCACATTTCCCTGCTGAATATCAAATAAACTTAGTAAACTTATAAAATATTCTTTCCCTTAAAAATACCAGTGTGGCTAGCAAAACTTGAGGAGATTGAGCGCGTAATAAGTTCGAGTCCCGCAGCTTTTCTTCGTGTTCATCAGAGAAGTAAGAGTTAGTTACCGAGAACGGAGGCATTACGCTATATACAGCCCGAGGGC